TTCTGGGTTATATTCTCCTTCCTGAAAGAGACACTGCAGCGGTTGCTCCTCCAGGGTTCTGCTGATCCGGCATGCATCTACATGCCGAAATGTGCAGTGTACAAAAGCTGCGACCTTGTCCTTTCGTTAGTGCTGTTGCCCACCACTAATTCAGGATGTGCCCACATCTTCTGGTGCTTATTCCAGTACTATGGAGGCACACAGATGCTCCACCATGTCCTTAGTGGCTACGGGCTCGTGGTGGTGTGCACTGAAAAGATCGAGTTTCCTATCTGCTATTGCACCTGGATACCAGGAGGGTTTTAGGGCTGGCGTCTCAAGCTGGATCTGGTTAGAAATTCCAGCATACAATAAGCAGGAGCCAAAATCCTGGGGCAGATCAATGGTATTCTACCTCTGTTAATGCCTGATTTTTTTTGAGGAAAGCACAGGAAAATATTTTTAATCTTTTGAACCTTTTAGGTTCAACATTATTAGCCAAACGTAGAGAAAGTTCAAAGTTCTATGTAAATCAAGGAACAGAAATACCTTCATGTTAATTTTTTCCAGGTCTCATTACAGCATATTCATTTGCTATATCGATTCAGATCTGATTTAATGTAAGTTGAAAATAAAAAGGAAATATAATTTTGAAGGTATTCTCCAAATTCTGTACACCTAGCAGGGAATCTTCTAGCAGCAGCCAGATTTGTTAACACATTTCTGGGATATTCATTCTCAAAAAGAATCAGCCAGACCCTTATCCTTCTCTCATGGTGATATCTGAGCTTTGCAGGGTTACACAATAGCTTTCACAGACATTTTGAGAAAAGTGAGGTACTGGTATTCCTGGTAGCAACGTTAGAAGAATGAAAATGTATGTTTCTTTGTATTCGCAGAGTGCTTTTCATTCAGAATGATTACAGTTCAAACACTGCAATCATTCTGTTCCCATCTAAGACACAGCCTACAGTGGGCTGCTCAAATACTGTTATTAATAATAAAGAAAACAAGACAGATTAGGGCATGCACCAGTACAGCTCAATGGCGTTCTTTTAAATATTTGCCCCAGTGTATCGCAATCCAGATTGCGAAGGCAGAACTGAAAGTGCTGCAGATCTGTAGGCCACAAGGTTTTAAAATACAAGGTTCCACACAGAGCAAACGACTTTTAAAGGATGAAGTTTAAAATGAAACTTGCATTCAGAATTTCAGGGACAATCCAACGAAGCTGGTGAAGGGTCTGGAGCACAAGTCTTATGAGGAGCAGCTGAGGGAGCTGGGGTTGTTCAGTTTGGAGAAGAGGAGGCTGAGGGGAGACCTTATTGCTCTCTACAACTACCTGAAAGGAGGTGGTAGCGAGGTGGGGGTCGGTCTCTTCTCCCTAGTAACAAGTGATAGGACCAGAGGAAATGGCCTCAAGCTGCGCCAGGGGAGGTTTAGGTTGGATATTAGGAAAAACTTCTTCACTGAAAGGGTAGTCAGGCACTGGCACAGGCTGCCCAGGGAAGTGGTTGAGTCCCCATCCCTGGAGGTATTTAAAAGCTGGGTAGATGTGGTGCTTAGGGACACGGTTTAGTGCTGTACTCTGCGGTGCTAGGTTAACAGCTGGACTTGATGATCTTAAAGGTCTTTTCCAACCTAAACGATTCTATGATTCTATGAATCCCCCAGAACGAAACACCAAGTGTTTTCCACAAAAACTGTAAATTCTTGAACACCACCACTGATGTTCAGGGACTGGCATTCAATTAGATGAAATAATTCTCTACATGCTCACAGTTTAACATAAGAACTGTCATACTGTGTACACACATACATTCTCTCTTCTAATGAATTCCCCATAAAAATCTTTTTTTCTCAATTATTCATTAATCACAGCTGTGCTGAAGGGCTCCTGTTTGGAAATAAAGGGGGATATTTTCCTTCAGATCAATAATGTGTAAACCTAAAATTTGTAAATGTATTTTATGGGGAAGTTCAGGGATTATGTTGAAGTTGTTATAGTTAATATTTGCATTCTCCCAGGGAAGAACTGCTCTCCCTTGCTACCTCTGTAAAACTTGTAAAGCAGAAGCGGGATGTCTTGCACAAGTCTAAATGTGTGGAACAACACGTGCACGCATGATGTGCATAGGATGGGTTGAGATTTATGTCCCTTGTACAGCAGAATTATTTGGGTCATGTACAGTGGCTACTTGTCTAGAACTTCTAGGTGTTTTTCATCTGCCAAAAGCCTGAAAATCCAGTGGAACCAGGTAATTGCCCACTGAGAAATAAGTCCGGAGACCCAGCCTGCCCGGAGCTGCCTACATGTCAGGCAGCTCTCCACAGCACTGCTGTAAGCTCTTCCACAACTGCCCCTATCTAGGTAGCATCAGAGGATGTGCTTACCACACCACGTCCTTTCCTCCCCCTGTATCCCCTCTTCCCCAACGGCAGATTGTGTCACTTGCATCAGAGGGCTTAAGCCCAGCTATGAATGAAAGAGGTTATTTGCTCTTGGATGGATGAAACAGAAAGGGAAACCCAAAACTTTCATTTGCCACATAATTTCTTTCTATGTGAACCTGTTGCCCAGCCTTTTCCTTTTGTCTCCAAATGGCTTCGTCCAGGAACATTTAATCACAGTGAATGCTCTCTCCCAGAAGACAAGAATCTGTGCCTTAAAAGAGGTTCAGGGAAATAGTATGTGCATATAAGATTTCACTGCCATTGTTCAATTTGCATTGTTCAGGGTATTAATTTAATTTTAGATACTTCACCACAGTCAGGGAAAAAACCAAACTCTCTCTAAATTAAATTAGCTGATAGCAAAAGCATCTAATGTGCAGCAAATGGAATTGCATTTTGCTTACATTCAACTAAATGAACATCTAGATTTCTGAAACTTAAGAGGTGTATTATTCAACACATCACCAACATAAAGCTTGCGCAGTAATACTTTGATTATGTTTTTCTAATTCAGGTCTGGCTGAATGACAATATGACAGTAGTATTTGACAACGACAATAGTATTTGCCTGAGAACTAAAATCAGTCTTAAATGACATTTACATTTATTCCTCTGTAAAAATATTCTAATTAAACAGACACATCAACTCACTCTGTTGTATAAAATGATTTTCTAAATTGAACCTAAGATAAAAATTGCCTTCCTGATAGCAAAGTCAGGGCTTTCAAAATTTCTGCACGTGGTTAAGAAACCGATTTGAAACGTGAAAACTTGCTGTTAAGCAGCACTGCACAGAGGAGACTGCTAGTTTAGCCCCCCCGTTAGCACCGATGATAGGTTTGTCTTCGAAGAGAGTGTTGGTGCCCTGAGAGCTGCTTCGGGACTGCGGGCTCTTCCCGCGCTACATCACCCCGTGGGGCCTGGCCGCCCCTGCCCAGCCCGACGCTGGGGGGGGGCTGACCTCATCCACTGCACCAGCTTGCCTGCCCGCCTGCCTGCCAGCGGCAGGGCCCCCCCCGCCGCCTGCTGACAGGGAGGATCGGAGGGGAACCTGGAGATGCGGGCTGGGCTGCAGATGAGGTGTGCTGGGACGACAGACCCAGCCCCACGTTTGCAGGAGGAGGGCAGGACCTGCTGCTGACAGGGAGGATCGGAGGGGAACCTGGAGATGCGGGCTGGGCTGCAGATGAGGTGTGCTGGGACGACAGACCCAGCCCCACGTTTGCAGGAGGAGGGCAGGAGGTACAGGCAAGTTGGGACCACACCAAGTACTCTGAATGGGTCTGAGAGGAAAGGCGCCACGTACCGATATCAAACTGGAGAAAATTACTCTGAAAATCATGTGGACTTGACTAAAAGTCGCAGTAAACTGGGAAGAGGGGAAAGGACTGAGCTGCTCAAGAAGCTGCAATGATGGCTTGGATGTGTGACTAAATTAAAATGCTTGAGATGATAGAGATAAAAGGTGATGCTGGGCTGCAGGCACTCGCATGATCCTCATCACAGGAGAGATGCTGGGAAAGGCACACATCTGTGCTAGCTTGTTATGACACGTGCTATTTATAACTAGGGGGAAAAGAGGGAATGAGAATTATTGTTACTACTAAAACCATGATTCTTGTGGAACTTCCAATTAAGCAAGGTTGTGCCTGACCCGTATTTGGTTGGGTTACCTGTGCTGCAGAAGTATTGGCTGGATCCTTGAACACGTATTTTTACTTTGAAATTCTGAACACTTGCACATAAAGAAACAACTATCTGCTATTGGTGGAAAACTACAGTGCTTTCATCCAGAGAGTAAATAAAACTTAAGTCACTAAGCAAAATGGGAAGCCTTGGAGAAGCTGTACAGTTAAAATCTTCTGAAAGCTTTGTACATCTTGCCAAGTATCAAAAGTTTGGGATGATAACAACCAAAGGATTAGAGATCAAAACATTTATTTTTTCATTTTGCTTGCTTTGTACATCTGGCAGTGTCAGGGTATTGTCCATTCCACTACGTCCCCTGTTCAGTTACTTACACTCTCCATTCAAAAACACGTCTGATTAACAAAGAGCAGAGAGCAGTTCTATTAGCACATCCACATGCCTTTGCATACCAGAGATTTTCTAACAAACACAGGTACAGAGTAATTATTCACAGACTGAAGTGGAAGCCAGCAATCAGAAAACCTTTTAGAAATTAGAGAACGAGCTGCAAAACCCATGCAAACTGCAAGGGACCTTAGGCCAAATAGTTTATTCATACTCATAGCCTAATTTTGCTGGATCAGTTTCAATTTTTTAACATCCTTATGTCAGTTTTATCTGACAAAACTTTAGTAAAATTAAATACTGATCTTCAAATCTTCAAAACCAGACGCCATACAGCAGGACAAGAAGGAAAGTGACACACAAAAACAATTCCAACATAAGGTATTGGAGGAATGGATCAGTTGGGATTAAGTAAGAACGGCTAACATCACCTCAGGTGCATCTTCCTAAGCAACTGATTTCCCTGTTTCCCAATCCCAATGGGAAACAAAAGCCAGAACAAAAATCAATTCAAATCTAACGAAACCATGGATTTGACGGGAAACAGAACATTTTGTGTTTGAGTATTTTAAATGTTTCTGAATTGGAATAAATTTAGTAATGCAATGTCCTGTCAAAAAAAATTCAGCAAATTGTTTTTCAGTCTTTCATTTTTTGCTTTTTTAGCCGAAATGATCTAAGGAAACATCCACTGTATTGTGCTTGCTTTTAAAGTGGTCTGATGAAATCCAAACGTTAATAAATATTTTCTGGAGATGATTTTGATTGCTGCAAGAGCTCTATTTAGCTTTTTCACAAAGCTTCTTTTATAAGGACAGCCAGTCTCTTGAAGGCCTGCAATGACACAAATATGGTTCACGTTTATATTCCAGCATTACTTAAACAGGCAACACACCAAACCTATAAAGCTACTAGAACTACCCTAACCATATACAAACTCAGTATTTTATACTGCAAAATTGTACTGATTTTCTCTGTTTTCCTTTTATTAACAACATGTATGGGCTTTGACTGGACAAAGCTTCCACTTCTCTGACAGAAAATAAAAGGCAGAGTTTTCTGAAACAGAAAAATACATATATTGATGTTCAAAGGTTATTTGGAGTTCAGAGGCAATTAAACAGATGTACTTTTAATACAACTAGTGATCCCTGGAAGAGTATCTCTTTTAACTTAATATAAGGGCCTAGAGGCTCCAAAGGTGAAAGACAAGGAAGAAGAGTTGAGTGGGGAAGCATATAAAAGACACAATTTGGCTGTCAATAGTATGGTTAGGAATTACTTTTACAAAGAAGAAGAAAGAAATAGAAGAGATGAAGAAGAAGCAATAGAAAGGCAATAGAAGCGCTTATCTGTTACAAACCTTCACAACTGAATGAAAGTACAAGAACAAATACTGAACTGTTTCAAGCACCTGAATCAAATGAGTATTAAACTTGCACAAATAAATGTGTCCTATCTTTCTTCTCACTGATTTTACATCCAAAATGTTCCTAAAATACATAGAAGATCAGTTCCTGAGAAATTAAATACAATATGTATGTCAATTGTACAAAAGCAAAAAATATTCTTTCTTATAAAGGATTGACAACACACACACAAAAGAAAGCAGGTAATTCAATCTCAGGAATGGAAAGTCTGGAAAATAAAAGATACGTGATGCCTGCTAATGCTACAGCAAATAGCAAAACTTACTCTGACTTCAGTAAAGCCTTTATGAATAATGTCTGGGAGGATTAAGTGTGAGACTTGACACGTGTTAAGATACACAGATAAATTTTAAGTGGTCCTAAAAATTTGGCACCTTTCTGGTCATTTGGATATGAGTACCTTGCCTAAGAAACAGCTAATACTGCTTCAAAAGTACTGCTTAGTCACCTAAGTACTAAAAAACCCCACACTAACATTCAAGAAAACACTTAAGAAGAAGTAAGTAAAAATAAGGGAGCATTATTATGTGAGAAAGTGTCTTGATAAGAATGTAAAAAAATCTCACTTACCAGATCCATCTGGGCTGGAGAAGACAGAGAGAAGGAGGCTCTGACATAAGAACTAGGCTCTGAACTGTTGATATTGAATGCTCCTCCAGGAACCAGTAACACCTAAGAAAAATTGATTAGCCACCCAGTTATCACCACTTCTACAGTTTTAAAACACTATGTGAAATTAAATTTGAGAAGGTTCACTACTGAAACACTGGTATCAGAACATGGCTTAATATATTTCTTCTCTTCAAAATGAGAAGCAACCTGGAATGAGACTTTTCATAAAAAAATCAAAGGGCTCTTAGGTTTTGGTTACCTAGGCTGGTGGGTTACCAGGGCTGGCTTATCATCACAATGTTTAGAAGCACCAGTGAGGTGGGATGTAGTTTACTCAGTACACAGTGCTGGCTCTTAGAAATTGTAGAAATAAAATCACACTTACTTTCTCTTATTAAAAAGATATAGTGGACAGCCATCATTCATAGGTACGTGTATGAATTTTATATATATGTGCTATATACATGGCATTGTACTATGTATTATAATGGTTTAAATTTAAGTAAGCTGATTAAATATCAACATCAGAATAGAGGCATGAAAATATTTTATTAATGAGTCACTATGTGACAATGCAGACGCAATGGTGCTGCACAGCAAGTTCCCCTGCTTTTTGATGGGTGCGCATATGCGTGGATAGATACGGTAAATTTATTTTATCCTTGCCTCATTTAATTTTAATATCATAAGCCATTAAACCATAGGTCATACTTCTTTCTGCAAAGCTTTTTCCATGATCAGCTGCTGTGTATCAGAAACACCCTTAATTTTGATCCACAAGAACATGCCAGCAGCAGGAGGGTACCATTCTGCCAAGTCTGGAGAGAGAGAGAGAAAGAGAGAGAAAAGAAAGGAATCAAGAAAGAAACTTTTGCCCCACCTTTAACTGACATATCATAGATTCAGTGATGTTACAGATTTGTTGCTCCAATGAACTCAAAGGGAATGTGGGCCACAGAGCCAGGACGCCACTTGCAAAATCTAAAATACTCCTAATCAAATCTGTGTGGGCTTATTGCACTTGTGCTGGTATCCTCAATACTTTTTGTGAAAGTGATTGAATTACAGATATCCCAAACATTAGCAAACTATATTTGTTGATTATTTTCAGATCAAGTAGACAATCTAAAATAATTTTTCTGATGCAGTTTCTCCTAATATCACATTTGACTATCCATATAATTTAAAATGTAGCAAAGCACAAAAATGTTTTCCTTTGAGTTACAGTGATTACAGATTTTTCCCAAAGAAAATGAGAGCCTAGGAGTTATGAGGATAGGAAGGCTTAGAGAGGATTTATGTCTTAAATTATGTATGCAGACTTACTGTATACCTTCTGTTTACCTAGAATTCTTTATCTGGCTTTGGACATATTTTTGAAGAAACTATTTATTTGACTTGACATCTTCTCCATCTCTTCCTTGATGTATTTAACCATTGCATATCTACAAAATAAAGGTCTGTCTTCCGTAATATTATGGCTGCTATTACTAGAAAACGTGAAGACCCTGTAGTCTTTTACATATGAGTATATTCTCACATTTAAGGTAGCCCAGTGCTATTACGCTGTTTTGATACTTGGGGAATTGAGATAAAGAGGGCCTACCTAGGTCAACAAGCCATGGTTGTTCAGAGCCATGTAGAAAAAGAAGAAATACTTCATATCTAAAAACCTAGAATTAGCAAGAGTAACTACGTTACTGATTGTGTGGTGCTCAAGTCCCCATGTCCCATGGAAGTATCATCTAAGGTAGGTGGGCAGTTCTTAAGCAGTTATTGCTGATTCCACTTAGACTGACTAAAAGGAGTGAGTCATTAACTGTCATTGTATTATTGTTGATAAAATTCTTTCTATGCTCCGTGATTAACCACAAAAGGGGACATTTGAAATTGATTTCTGACAAAAAATGATTATCACTACTCTGTATCTATTGTTTATATCTTTTTTTAAATTAAGGCCACTAAATCTGTTTATTTCAGACAGAGATTTTAAACATAAAAAGTATAAGAACATAGTGGAGTGAAATATATGGTCTTTGTAAAACTGCTTTACACAGTAAAGTGCTGAGCTTTTTTCTCGTCACCATCTCTTTGTCCCACCAGAAAAGCATGAAAACAGCATCACTAGATAATTTGTCCTAAGCTTAATATTTAATGTCATTGATTTGCTTATAGTGCTTATCTGTCCCTTCAGTCGAGAGATGAACTTTAGTGATTTTTCTTGAACACAAAGATGACAGATAGAAAAAAAATGTAAGTAATTAGCTGCGTTACACTCACTGACCTTTTAACCACTTGTCAGCAGCAATGAGCATTGCATCCCGCTGGGTCCTGTAGAACTCCACCACTCTGAAAGTAAATTATCAATTCAAAGTCATGGGCCCATAGCGCTTCAGAGTCCATTTGTGTCCAAAGGCAGAAACAAAGCTTTTCTACTTGAACAGCCTAAGTGCACATTTAATGGAAATATGAGCACATCCTAGATGGGCACAATACAGTATACTGTGTGTATAAAACTTTGTGTATGTATCAGAGAAGTCTTGAATGCTTCAGCATGTCTCCAACAAAGCACTGATCAACCAGACAAAGGAAGTGGCTATGTGGTTGCTTCTTAAGCTTTACATATGTCATGGAAATGCTTTATATATTATACCCATTCTGTCTATTTTAGCAGTCGATACAAACCCTGTGAGCAATATTTACCACACAAAACAGGCATACTGAAGAAAATGAAGGACTTACTTACTCATACATATGCAAAAGCACAGACACGATATTTGTGCATCTGGGTTGAATTTGTGTAATAGGTACACATGGAAATGATATTTCACAAGGTAAAAAGAAAATCATATGATAAACCTGTCATGACTATTTGACAGCTTCCCCTTTTCTAAAGTTTTGAACCTATCTATCACCTTCACACTTTAAGTAAAACTTGGAAATAATTAAATCTCTTACTGAGGAAAATGACCCTAACCCAAGTTTCAACACGGACAAGTCTTGTTCAGTGGCTCTTGTTGATATAAAATGAGATAGCTGTGATTCTGCAGCAGGAGACACAAGAGAAATGCCTGATACAGAGTTCATAAATCAGATGCAAATGTGTTCCCTTCTCTGTAGAGAAACTATATGTAGTAATTTGCATAATTTTACATTTAGAATTTTTTTTCTACTCTCTGAACCAATAGCTTTGATTTCTGGATGTATTTCATTATACCTGATACCAAAGACTTACACAGTTTTGGGATTCAGCCTCTACCAATTGCTACAGTCTGCATGAAATGGTAAATCTCACTTACAGAGCTTTTACAACATCAAAAATTCTGTCGCAAGTTTTTTGCCTTTCTGTTATCATTTCACTTTCATGTCAGAATGAAATTGGAAGTGTTAGTGAGACAAGACTTCCACAAAAAGGTAGCTGCTCCAAACACCAGGCTAGTTCCTACTCAAAAGCATGATCTAACAAATCAGCCTGGTCCAAATGAAATCACCTGGAAAAGATTGCAGCCAGCTGTTGGGCCTCATCAATAAGTCACCTGACAACAGAGTCTAGAAGGTTATAAAGGGCTGCAGCTACCCTACTGCAGCACTATTCTCATTAATCAAGAGGAAGAACAGCATTCTTTCAGCAAGGATGGGTTTTTTTGCCTACAAGAAGGAGGTAAGAAAAGAGATGCATTTAGGGCATATTTTTCTAACTGCTGAAAGTTGAGCTAAAGTGTGGTCCAAGTTTCGCTGCAAAACCTATCTTTATGCTTCCATTTCTTAAAACAAGGCAAAGCCAGGACTGGCATGTCTGCCTTTTTTTTTTTTTTTTTTTTTAAATACTAGTGTAAATTTTTTTTTTTTTTTTTTTTTTTTTTTTTTTTTTTT